TAGAGGCATTACAAGAGAGTGAAAAAGAAATATGGTGAAATGGTACAGGTTTAACGCCCCTATCAACACACACTATTAGGTTATTTAAGAGGCGGGGCCTCCGAGTTTAACGTCCGTCTCTGAAAGGACCAAGCCAAATAGGAAATTCGTGTAAAGTGCCTTTCCTAAGGACACAACGTCGGGTCGAACTGGCGCTCGAACCCCTGAACCCACAATCTCACGATTACGAGGTACAAGAGAGTGACAAATACAGAAAAGAAGGAGGGGAGATAACGATGATAGATATTTGATAGGAAAGAAGGAGGGGAGATAACGATGATAGATATTTGATAGGAAAGAAGGAGGGGAGATAACGATGATAGATATTTGATAGGAAAGAAGGAGGGGAGATAACGATGATAGATGTTTGAAAAGAAAGAAGGAGGGGAGATAACGATGATAGATGTTTGATAGGAAAGAAGGAGCAAACACCACCAGAGCACTGGCTATCCACTCAAAAAACTGTCTTCCCCGAGCAGGTATAAAACTCACGCCTTCTGCGTGCAGCAGGAAAGACCCATCTTCGCTGTCGTTACAACCGTTTTGATGTTACTCAAATTCTTCATACCGTAAAAGGGTAAGTTGAGATTTTTTGCAGCTCATCTAACAAAGTCTAGCACACACACAGTGAACACACACAGAGCAAATACACACACACACACAGCAAAACATGTAAAAAACAAAGTGAACACACACAGAGCAAATACACACACACACACAGCAAAACATGTAAAAAACAAAGTGAACACAAGCAGAGCAGACATGCACAAAGCAAACACGTACATTGCTAACAAGAAAAATGACGATAGTAAGGATGAGGAAAGAAAAAGCAGCAGTTCCCTGTTGCGATTCCGGCACAGTTATGAGCATGACATTGATGAATCGGCAGCCCATTTACAAATCTACTGAGCAACAGAATATGGTAATGTCACCCCTTTGGGAATGACCTAACGACACTTCAGTCAGTAGCACCGCCCTGGGGGGGGGGGGGGGGGGGGGTTCGCAATGCGTGAGCTAGACTGTACATTTCTGTCCATTAAACAGAAACATAGCATGAAAGCAAAACTTGGTCAAGGAAAAGGTTTTTAGGATAAAAAAAACCCAACAACATTGCACATATATTATACTGCACATTCACACATATGTGAGGCGAGTTGACAAAATGAGTTACTTCTCCCAATCCACAAATTATGGAGATATTGGCCAAAAATCAACACTAGGGTCAAATTAGTAGATTTTCTATTGATAAATTGATGTCATATTCTTTCAGTATGACATTCATTATATCATTTCATACTTATAAATTGTAAAACCTTCACCTATAAGCGTGATGTAGCGGTTTCCATAGGGCTCGAATCCGAGAAGTTACTCATTTAGTCCGCACCCTTCACATATACTGCACATTCAGGGCTCACAAGGTAATTTTAAAACTTTGGTTTCATACGTCATCCCTCATGCACAGTACACAGACATCCCAGATAAAATGTGAGGCATGGTGGTGAAATCAGGCGCTCGTCAAAATAATGGAATCAAAGAATCCGACATTTTCCCACCCGTTTGGCAATGTGTGTGTGTGTGTGTGTGCGTGCGCGCGCGTGTGTGTGTGTTCCCAACATCTTTTGATTTTGCTAAAATGAAAAATGTTGATCAAAGTCAAAAGTAAAGGTTTCTGGTGACAGCCATAACTCACCCGATTCCACTGTGTCATTATAATATTATTTGAGTACAAGAAACCAAGAATCGTGTAAAACAATCTGTATATACAAGGCTTAAAAAAAACCTCATCTCAAACGATAGCTCCTGCAAACAAATGTGAGGCGTGCGCTGACCAAATGAGTTACTTCTTCACAATCCAAGAACGGAGATATCAGCCAACAATCGACACTGGGGTCAGATTTACAGATTTTAAATTGATGTCGTTTTGATCAAGTCTACCGTGTCAGTTATCATTCCTTACTTACAAATTGTTTGTACAAACTCCACCTAAAGTTGATGGATCAATTTCAGTGAGAACTGGTGGAAAATCGCCCAAACTGAGATCATATCAACACAAAATTGCGCCAGCAGACAACCCAGATCCGTCCTGTGGAGCCTGCAAGGAGGAGGACGAGACTATGGACCATAATGTGTTCCTGAGATGTCCCGTCAACTATCATGCCAGAAACCGTCTGCTGGGACATTTCAGTAACCCACTTTCAGCACTTTTCAAGGACCCCCGGGCAAGTGTTGAGTTCCTGTGTGCTGTCGGCATCGCTGACCGTTTATGACGCCACAGTGCCAGAAGAGAGAGAGAGAGAGAGCGAGAGAGAGAGAGAGAGAGAGAGAGAGATGTATCATTTTCCACAGAGCTAAAATCCAACAAGTAACTCATTTTGTCATTACGCCTCACGCATACGTCAAAGACATGAAGATACGGTGCAGTCCGCTTGAACCAAACACGATGAAGCAGAAAAAAGAGGTAAACCGAAAAAGAATAAAATCCTTGGTTACCTTTACTCTTTTGTTTGAGCCACCTCTCTAAACTAACAACCTGGCTGAACCGAAGACAAACCAGCCGTCCCACAGACTCCGGTTTAAGCGGACTCCAGGACATTTCATACTGTACACATTCTAAAATATAACATATATTTTCAGATCCAAAAAAATCATATACATTAAATAAAACAAATTATCATGCATGCCCGGAAACAATTTCCCAGAATGTATATCTGGCCCCGCGGAAAATTGCATTTTTGAAATAGAAAAATTGCAAAAATTTGCAAGGTAAACCACCTAAAAATTGCAACCTTCCCACCCCAGGCACAATAATACGGGCTTAACATTTTTAGTTTTAAAAAAAATTACAATTTTGAGTACCGGTAGCATAAAAGCAGAACAGCCTTATTTTAAAAAATCATGACAAACAATACAAATTCATCAAATGTTATTAACATTTACTAGTAACAACACACGAGTACATTAACAATAAAGTTATCGACCAAATATAATATGACAACACGTGACACAAAATAACGGAACCCTCGGTTTTTGTAATAACTTTTAAATGAAGGCATACAATTTCACCAAATTTAGTACATACCGGGTACTTGGTTCATGCAAAAATCTAGAAGTGTATGAGGAAAAAATTGACGAGAGATTTTGGAAACAACCTCTAAATACAAAATAAGCTTATGCTCCAATCAAATCAGATCCTGTTCTATTTTTCTCTTGAAACCTTCGATACACCGGTAATCTGTATTTAGATCTATTTCAGATATCTTCTGTTTTAAAACCGGCATGGTATTGTTTTAACAATAAGTCAAATCGTAAAATACAGCAATTTTTAAAAATCCATTTATAAACAATAGTAATACATGTACTAATGAAGATCTAGATCATTTTTCTATAGCACCCACTCCCGTGTGAATGCAGCTTAAGGCGTTTTACATAACGGGGTGTTTACGTACACAGTACACGGACACGTAGTCTCAGTGTCACGTACATGGTAACAGGGCAGTTAAGAATTGTAAGTTCAGTTACAACCCCCCCCAACCCCCCGACTGTACTGTACATTTTTTTTAAAAATCAATAATTCTCCCATTCCGGAGCCCTATACTTCGTAGCGCACAGACTTTGAATGAACTTTGGTGACTCCAACCGGTACTCACAACGTGATGCGAAAGCACAGGTTCACTGACCGGTAACGATGGCGAGCCCGGCAAGATGCGTGTATAACTTCCTTTTTTTTATTTCAACAAGTGACAGCACAGCACACCTACTTTCTTATCACACGAGCACGCTTACACACATTAGATAAAGGCCTAGCCACCTTCTCAGCCTAGCCTATGTCTCAGTTCGTGATGTACATGATGCATTCCGGCATGAATTTCCGGTTATAGTAGTCATAGTTATAGCTTTTAGAATACGCTCAGTAGGCTTGAGCTGGGCCGATACCATGATTTACGTAGGCCTGTCGGCTCTGTACTCGCATCATTTTTTATTAAAAATTCGGTTAAAATTAAAGCGTTCATGTATTTTTGCCTAAGATTGCAAAAAATTGCGGGTTTATTGCGGAACTCGACGAGAAACGCGGCCGCAAGTGTGGCCGCAAGACCGCGATTTCCTGGAGGGCCAGGTATATATAGACCAATAAATGACAAATTGCCAAAACGATGTCAACTTCAGAGAAATAGACACAACTACTCACATTTGACAGGGCCAGAGTTTAAAAAAATGATTTGCTAAAATATATACACCAATAAAGACGAGTTGCCCCAACGATGTCAACTTCAGAGAAATAGACATAACTCGTCACATTTCAGAGGGCCAGAGTCAAAAGGTTCTATCATCCGCCACAAATGACGGCACACACACACAGACACCATCTTTTGACACGGAGCCAGCATTTTCAAAGATCCCTTTTCACACCCGAAGACAAAAGCTCTGATATTCTTGACCTCTGCATGAGAAAGAGATGATGATTCTGCTGTTCAGATCAACGAAACTGAGCCAAAAAAGCTGCCAAAAGAAAAACCAAAAGAAGCAGGACAGCATAAAAGAAAGGTCCAAAAATGTTTTGGGTAATTCACCCCATCTCACGTAACGATTGGTATTTTTATATTATATTATAGTAGAGGGTTTTACGGCGCTCGCAACTGCATAAGGTCATATGAGCGCCAAGGGGTGGGTGTCAACAAAGAAGTCTTTACAGGGAATCAGACTTACTCTGCTCACCTCTCTAGCTTCAACAGCACAAAGTCTGCTTCAACTATCAAGGCACCCCGGAAACAGCAGGTCACAAGAGTGTGACAAACATACAAAAGAATTAGAGGAAAATGACAATAGTACGTATCAGGAAAGAAAAAGCAGCAGTTCCCTGTTGTAGATCAGGCACACTTATGAGTGTGACATGAATCAGCCCATTTACAATTCTACTGTGCTTGAACGAGAAATGTCCCCCCTTTGGGAATGGCCTAAAGACACTACAGTCAGTGGCACTGCCCCAGGGACCCTTAAACACTGGCAATTAAAACAAACATAATCATTTCTCTAAAAATTGCCGATTACTCTGCAAATTAATCAGATCTGTGAACGATGGTCATTTGCAAAAATTAAAACCTCTTAACACTCGCTTTTGCCCTGTAAAAAAGAGGCGTCTTTGTAGCCATCATCAGCTCCCAACAGCGAGGGATCTTGGTTATTAGCCAAGACCTCTCTATTCGCCTGTTCACCATCGACTTCTCTATTATTAGCCTGTTCACCACCAGTCTCCAAAAAAGAGACTTGTTTGTAGTCACCATCGACCTCTCTAGTATTAGCCTGTTCACCACCGGTCTCCAAAAAAGAGACTTGTTGGTAGTCACCATCGACCTCTCTATTATTAGTATGTTCACCATCGACCTCTCTAGTATTAGCCTGTTCACCACCGGTCTCCAAAAATGAGACTTGTTTGTAGTCGTCGCTGATCTCTCCACCATCCAGCGGTTGAGCTTCCTGAGGACTAACTGCGCCCCGCATAGTGTCAGCGCTTGTCCCCCTTACGTCCCCGCCGACTGCCGACTGATACGACAAATAGTCTGTCGGAGGCCACACGCTCAATGCGCCAGGCTCGCTATCCACCCCACCACCTCCATGACCTGCTTCATGGTGACCCTCACCAGCACGACCTTCACCCTGTCCCCACGGTTTGGGAACCGCGGCCTGACCCTGTGGGACATCTTCTAAAGCTTGAAGCGGAATCATTTCTGAACCGTGAGGGGGGGCCAAAGCGGCAGAGGTAGTGGCGAAATTCTGGGGTTTCGAGGAAGTCCGCCTACCGGGAAGGTCCTCAGATTGGAAGTATCCCGAGCCGACCCTGTTGGAAGACAAACTGGTAACAGGAAGACAATGGGAGCTCTGTACGTAATCTGACGTGAAACCGCCACCTCCGCCACTGTTGTTGCTGTTGCCACTATCGATGTCTGCGTGAGATAAATCTTCTCCGACTTTGCCCCCGCCAGTAGAAAGCGGAGCTTTAGCGGCAAAACTCGCGGGACACACCAGGCTAGACGCGTCGTTTCCTCTACACGTTTCCATCACACCAGGAGGGAAATTGGTCGGCTGGCCCACCACGTAGAAGACGTTGGGAAACGAGGGTGGCGGGTGGTCGTCTTGCACGCTGGACGACAGGAAGCCTTCGTCCACTTCCTCCTCCGCCACCTCCACTTCGGCAGCGACGCGAGGGGCACGGGGTGGGTCGCCGGTCAGGAGAGAGATGGGGTCAGGGGGCTCCCGTATGAGGCTACTGTTGTCAGCGCCAGGTTGGACGTCAGTGTCATGTCTGACGTCGGTGCCACGCAGGGTGTCAGGTAAGATTTCACTGTAAGCCTCCAGGCTCCCATCACTGCCCGATGTGGAACTGCCATTGCCGCTGCCACTGCCCTTCGCCTTTCCGCCATCTTCCAAGAGTGCCTGCGTCTGGCCTTCATTTCCTGAAATGTACATTACAAAGAGGTTAGTCTACCAGACTCGTAATTGTGAGGCTGCGGGTTAGGGGGTTCTAACAGCAGGCCCAACGTTGTGACCTTGGGAAAGGCACTTTCCACGAATTTTCCTCACTTCACCCAGGTGGGAATAGGTACCCGGCCATAGACAGAGAAAGATCTTGTCAGTATGTTAGTGTTTTAGCGCCTATAAATGGCCGCTTACACGGTATGCTTCTCAGGAAGGTTGAGGTTGTTTCAGAATGTTCTCATGTCTGCTGGGGTAATAGTATAGATTGTGAAGCGCATAGAGCTTGCTGTTGAGCGGGGATTTGCGCTACACAAATGCTATCTATTATTATCATTATCATTATTATTATCATCATCATTGTAGGTGCACCAACGGTCATTAAGACTAAGGGATAAGTAAATAAAAGCAAACACAGCACAGTTCTACATGTAGTTTGTAGCAAACGGAGGAATTGATTAGTTTTTAGTTTTAGTACGAGCTTAGTCTAACCTGCCCTGACTGCCACCTCTACAAAACGGCCACCTGCACAAACGGCCACTTTTAATTCTCCCCCTTGCGTTTTTTCTATATAATTTAACTGTGTAAAACGGGCACCTGTACAACGCGGCTGCGGCCACCTTATTTTAACACACAACCCCTATCACACTAAGCATTAACACCTGTCTTAGACGGCCACCTTAGTGACTGCATTACGTTTTGTTATAAACTGTGCATTGGCCCCTGGTGTTGTGGGTGAGCCGTCATAATCCAATCACCTGTCGTTGTTGGGTTGTCCCTCCAACCGATCATGTTGTGTAGGCCCCTCTCAATGTTGACCAATAGGTACCGATTTTCAGCTGCTGGTTAGGGAAGCGTGTGATCCCTCATAACCCATAAGCCCCGCCCAGAACTCATACACAAATTGCAAGTGAGATGAGTGGTCACTGTTTACCCAGTCCGTAACAAAGTAACAATGGACGTCAGCATGAACTTGTGACAGAAGCGTCGCTCGTTCTGCAAGTGGTGGCCACCCATGTGTTTGTTTTACCATAGCACTCGGTCCTCCTTGTCTGACACATTTCATTTTATTGTCACTCTTGCACAAAAGCAGCAACAAAAGAAAAATAAAAGAAGAAAAAAAAACCCCAGTAAAAAACAAGAACAATAACAACAACAACAATGCGGCTATCTTCGGCTGGGACCTCAGAAAGGAATGGTTTGTTTTCTTCATCTTGACCAGTCCTGCCTAAGACGGCCACTTGTCTTATACGGCCACTTTTCTCCTTGACAATGGGTGGCCCTCTTACACAGGTTCGGCTGTACTTGCAACACAATAAGGTAATAATATGTGTGTGTTTTTGAGGAAAGGAGGAAAGATAAAGACAATAGCTGTTTGTTTGACAGGAAAGAAAGAGAAAACCAGATCACAGAGCAATGACAAAGAAAAATGAAATTTTTACCAAAATTGTTTTAAAACAAGTTTTTATGAAAGAGGAGTAAATTCTAAGAACTGTGATTTTTTTATTTTAAAATCCACAGATAAATTCTTTTTAAGTTTTGGGACTTTTTGTAGCAAAATTTTGGGAGACCTTCATATAATAAAATATCCCCCAAAAAGTGAGACATTTCTTGGTGTGTTTTGAGGGAAAACTGTTCATAAGTCAGTAATAAATTGGGAGTATATGAATGAAACTTTGCATCTTCATGAGGTTTTTAGCGCAGAATCTAGTTCTGCCATCACTTTTTGAAACTTTTAAAATATCTTTATTACTTGGATCCTAAGGGCTAATATGTGCATGGTAATTTCCTCGCCTGAGCATAACAGCCTTTTTGTTTAAGTAAGCTTTTACAGCGCTCGCAACTGCATGAGGTCATTTGAACGGCAAGGAGTGGATGTCAACAGAAAAGTCCAAACGGGGAATCAGGCTCCAACAGCACAAAGTCTGCTTCGACTATCAAGGCACCCCGGAAATAGCGGGTCACAAGAGTGTGACAAACACACAAAATAAGTAGAGGAAAAATGATGATAGTAAGGAAGAGGAAAGAAAAAACAGCAGTTCCCCTTATGTTGTTCCGGCACAGTTTGAGCATGACAATGCTGAATCAGCCCATTCACAATTCTACTGAGCATAGGAACATGTTAATATCCCCCCTTTGGGAATTGCCTAAAGACATTTCAGTCAGTAGCACTGCCCTGGTGGCTGGTACAACAACCATGTATCCCACAAAAACAAAATTTTACAGGAGAAGGAAAAAACTTTGTCAAGTCATCTAACAGTGTTTGTTAAAATTTAAAAGTCTGAAGGTTACGCTGGCAATGCTTATTGAGCTACGTGTCGAAAAATTTGACACAAAATCTGCAACGTTACATTTAGTACAAAAGGTTTTTTTTTAAAAGTGTTTTTCGACTCCGTGTGAGTTACAGGGTTATGTACTCCAGCAACGATTTGTCGAACTGCTTCCAGTTGGGGGCACACGCTTGCTAGGCATTACAAAACTTCATGAGTTTTCAACATAAGTTGTTCCCACATCCGATCCGGACATTGGAGATCGCCTTGTAAGTGAGACAACTTCCTGGGCCTTCAGCATATTGTAGTTGGGTGGCCAGTTCCTTTCCATGCCACCTTTACTTCCCCAACTCGAAGTCAGGTACCCATTACTGCTGGGTGGGTAGAAGGGGGCGAAAAAATGCTGTGTCCGAACCAAGGCTCGAACCCGGACTTTCCGCCTCAGAGACGAGTGCACTAACCGCTCCGCCACTGCACCCTCTAAAAACTTAAAAACCACTTCAAAATTACTTTGGAATAACTTTGAACATGCTCTCACCTGCGATAGAGTTATTGCTCTTGCCGAGACACCTGCTCCCATCCAGGCCAATGTTCGGAGCTGGCCAATCGGCAGACAGCGGAGATCTCTCGCCAGACAGGGCACCGCTCTCCACATATCCATTACGATCTTCCGGCAAATTGCCCGTCACTTCTCCCAAGGATTTCTCGTCCGACAGATCGGTAGACCGCGAGCTGCCCGAATCCAAAGGGCTTCCATCTCTGCCTACACGGCCAGCTAAACCACCGTCGAGATTTCTTGATGGACCTTTCCACTCATTCCTCCAGTTCTCGTTCCGAGCCAGGGAGAGCGACTCGCGCGAGTGAGCGTGCCCCCCTCTGGTCGAGGTGGCTCTGTGGTCCACGTAGTCCAGACTCCTGGGCTCCCCACTCGAACTGGCAGACTGGGATCCTCCTCCTCCCCAACTGGGATTTGAACTCTGGTGCTCCGCAACGTCCTCCAACTCGTTCTTACGTCGGTCCATACCAGTGGCCGCCGATGCCCCCTTGGAGGGAACGGTAGTCATGTGACCACTCGCCAACGGCCCCCTCGGGGGAACGGTAGTCGCGTGACTACGGCTAGGGTGATGATCCAGGCTAGGGACAGCCCCCGCCAGAGAGGAGGGGGAGGAGGGAGAGGAGGGGGAGGAGGGGAAGGAAGAGGCAGGAGCAGCAGCACGGGCAGCCGAGGACAAACCCTCCCAAGAGCTGACGTCCGTTGTGTCTGTGCGGGGGTCCTCGCTCGACGGTGTGGCCAGCAGCGGTGTCTCCGAGATCCCGCCCATGGACCGGGTGGGCGAGGGAAGCTGGTCTTTGTCCACTCGCAAAGAGAGCAGGATGCTCGGAGGGCTGGTCTGAGGTGGCACTGGGATCTGGTTCGAACCTTTGCTGCCTGAGCTGCCAGAGAAGACCCCACTCTCGCTGCTCACTTGCTGCGTATACTTTGGCTATGGGATGAAACAAAGATACACAGGGGTCACATATACTTTGGCTTTGGGATGAAACAAAGATACACAGGGTCACATATACTTTGGCTTTGGGATGAAACAAAGATACACAGGGGTCACATATACTTTGGCTATGGGATGAAACAAAGATACACAGGGGTCACATATACTTTGGCTTTGGGATGAAACAAAGATACACAGGGGTCACATATACTTTGGCTATGGGATGAAACAAAGATACACAGGGGTCACATATACTTTGGCTTTGAGATGAAACAAAGATACACAGGGGTCACATATACTTTGGCTATGGGATGAAATAAAGATACACAGGGTCAAGGTCATGTTCTGGTAGGAGTTTTACAGTTTTACAGCACTTGCAACACAAACAGGTCAGTGGGTGGTTGGCGGGTGCTCTGGTGTGGTTTGCTTCTTCTTTCCTATGAAACATCTATCGTCCTTATCTCCCCTACTTCTTTTTTATGTTTGTTACTGTCTAGTAACACTTCTAATCTTCTGCTGCTCATATGACCTTACGCAGTTGCGAGCGCCGTAAAACCTCTACAAAAACTAAACAAACAGGTCATGTAAGTGCCAAAGACTAAAAGTGTTACAGGAGACTTTAGTTTTTGTAAGAGTTTTACAGCACCTGCTGCATGCACTTAGGCTGTTGGATGACACAACGACACAATGACAATCTTTATTGATCTCGCAGGGAGAAATTCGACTTGGTCGTTTACAATGGCATGTCTCACGTGCTGAAACAACCCGCTCCGTAAACCATTCTCTCTCTCTCTCCCCCCATCTCTCTTTCTTTCTCTCCCCCCATCTCTCTTTCTTTCTCTCTCTCTCTCTCTGTTTCATTTGTAGCACTGTGCGTTCAGTAACCTCATTGCACTTGGCACGAATGAATTTCTATATATCTATCTGTTCTTGTCTTTTTAGAAAAGTATCGTTTACAGAGGATCGATAATTGAAATTCCGATGTCAGTGGGTGGCTACAGTCACTTAGCATTATTACACAACTTCTTTTGTTAGTTAGATTTAGTAGAGGTTTTACGGCGCTCGCAACTGCATAAGGTCATATAAGCGCCAAGGGGTGGATGTCAACAGAGAAGTCCTTACAGGGAATCAGGCTTACTCTGCCCACCTCTCTAGCTTCAACAGCACAAAGTCTGCTTCGACTATCAAGGCACCCCGGAAATAGCGGGTCACAAGAGTGACAAACATACAAAAGTAGAGGAAAATGACAATAGCAAGGATTAGGAAAGAAAAAGCAGCAGTTCCCTTTTGTAAATCAAGCACAGTTATGAGCATAACATTGATGAATTCTACAGTGCATGAACGAGAAATGTCCCCCACCTCTCCCCCCTTGGGAATGGCCTAAAAACACTTCAATCAGTGGCACCGCCCCGGGGGGGGGGGGGGGGTATTACACAACTTCACGGTCAAGTTCTAGTAAGAGTTTTACAGCACTTGCAACACAATTGGGTCATATAAGTGCCGCAGACTAGAAGTGTTACAAGAGAGTAACAATCCCCCAAAAAAGAAGTGCTGAAGGTTAGAGGTACTACAAGAAAGTCGCGAACACAAAAAAGAAGGAGGAGAGATAAGGACAATAGATGTTTGACAGGAAAAAAGGAGAGATAAGGATGATAGATGTTTGATAGGAACAAGGGAGAAAACCACACCAGAGCACCCGCCAACAACCCATGGGCACACAATGAAAAAAACAAACATATTCACCACACCGCTAGATAAGACAAGATACGATAAGATAAGATAAATCTTTATAGTCCAGACCCTGGCCCATTGGTTTGGTGTTTCACCACGTGTACACTCACACACCCACACATACACAATAGGGTGTAGACACACACACACACACACACATACACACACACACATACACACACACACACACACACACCCACACACACAATAGGGTGTAGACACACACACATACACACACCCACACACACACGCAAACATACACAATAGGGTGTAGACACACACACACACACACACATACACAATAGGGTGTAGACACACACACACACACACGCACACACACGTAGGCTTACAATCACAAGCATAATATAACTGAGCAGCAATATAAACAATAATAATCTTAAGCTAAATACACACTCAATGCTATTCTGATGCATGCTCCAAGGTCATAGGTATACTTATACAAGATGGTTGGTTAAGATGGAAGCAATCAGAAATCAGAAAAAAAAACTCACATTTTCTTGGGCATCACCCATGATATTAAAATCCTCAGCTTTTCTTAGCTTTGAAAAATGCTGTTTCCGTCTGAAAAACAAAATTTCTCAATAAATTATAAAAATACGGGCAGAAAAAAATAAAATGATGAAAAGAGTGAGAATCAAATAAAAAGAGAGAGAGAGAGAGAGAGAAAGAGGGAGGGAGAGAAGGACAGAAAAGGGGGGGGGGGGGGGGGG